ATTTTATTTTATTTTATTTTATTATTTTTGTGTGCGTGTACTGTCAAATCAGATCTGACTGGTACAGGAGGAGATTGTCCCTCCTTCCCCGGCAGAGCGTCTGGTGGATTTGAACCGTGCGCCTCTGGAATTGTAGTTGCAGCTCCTTGCCACTAAGCCACCAGAGCTCCCCTGCGTTTATGTCTCTTAAAAAATGTATTTCCAATGAATAAGTCATTGATTGTGCAAAATTCAATCATTCTATCTCCAGCTTCATTTCTGTCACCAAGTCCATGTTTTGTACTAGCTCATGCTAAATGTGAATTTTTATTTTTCAGGTCCAAAAGCTACTTTGCATGTGCCCTGTGGATTTCCATGGAATCTTCCACCTGGATGAAAGGCGGAGAGATGCTGTTATTGCACTGGGTATTTTTCTCATTGAGTCTGATCTGCAGGTATGTGGAAGTTTTATGTGACAGTATCTCTGCCATTTAAAAAAGGACAAGGCTTAGAATTGAATCTATATTTGCTTCTATTGCATAAAGAATATTAAAAGCATGTATAGGACTCTAATGAGTAAGGGTGAGACAAGTAAAATGGAACAGATGAAAATGAGGTTTCTTAATGTATACCTTATGTAATTTTGTATTTTCAACTGTGTGAATATACTATATAGTTTAAGAAAAGAGATTTTGTTTGCTTGGGAGGTGATGGTGGTGTCAATGTGCTATTGAGTCAGAACCAACCCATAGCTGACTCTCCACTGAGTTTTCAGAAGCAGTAAATGCATGAGAGTAGATTGCCCATCTTTCTCCCATGGGGCAATTGTTGGATTAGAACCACTTAACGTTGGCTTAGCAGCACAGTTCCTTACCACTAGGCCACCAAGAGTTCCCTAGGGTGCAAAAAGTGAAAATGCTTTGTGAAGCAACTGTGTGCCTTCGATAGTTTGCTTGATTTGAAATCCCAAGTAAAACTCTAGTTATCAATATATGGAAGTGAGCATGTGAAACACAGTGTATACCAATGAAACAAAACGTGTGGATTTTGCATGCAAACCAATATACTATTGTTTTTAAAACTACAAAACTCTACATACACTTATATAACTATTTCTTTTAATATTTTTAAGGTAGTTTTACTGAAATACTGTCTTTTTTAAAATTCTGTTGAATATAAGTTCTAGAATACATTACTGTACGTTTTTCTTATGTGAACCATCCTTGCATGCCTATTATGAATCCCACTTGGTCATGGTGAATTATTTTTTTGATGTTACTGTACATTTTTAAAAACTAACTTTGTAGCTCTAGCAGATGGTGTGACTGTTATTTTTTTGTATTTATGACTTCTTTTAAGGAATCTGTTCCTATTAAGATCACCATTTAGAAATGTTAAAGTACACAGGTATTCTGCATCCTGTAAAATACTTGAAGAATGTTTTTCAGAGAGACTATTAAATGAAGTTAATGTTTCCTTTTCATTATAAAAACGGTTGTCATGCTGGTTCTGTCCTTATATCATTCTCCGAGAATGACTTTTTAAAAATAGAAGTATTTTCTGTCTTTCAAAAATGTGGCCCCAGCAGGGAGAAGGGCAGGGAGGAAAATGTGAAATAATGAATGAATGGAATCCAAGTTCTTTATAAACTTACAATAAAATCTCAATAAAAAAAAAAGATTACCATTTATGAAACCCTACGGGGAAGTCCTGCTTTGTTGTATAGGGTCATTATTGTCCAGATTGTTTCGTTGCACATAACAAAAGCTAATAATGGAGGCAAGTAATGAATCCTTGGGTAGAGAATCTATATTTCATCATTACTTAACACCATTTATTATTTCATAGTTTATTTGATATGTTAGGAAAGGAAAAATGATAGATATTAGCATTTTAAGTTATTTTTTAAAAGTTTATATGGACTAGAAATTTTATTTCATTAAACATTAATATTTTTGGTGATATTTATGTTCTGGAAAACATCAAGCATTGTGATTATAGACTAATATTTAAAAATTTATGTAGAGTGTTGAACCAGGGCCACATGGTAACTAAAATTGGGTAGATAAGGCTTGCAATTTGTCTTCTTTCTATTTGTTTATAAATGTGAGGAGGAAGAAAATAGTCTTTTTTGCTAGCCAGATCCTATTTAAATTTTAAATTAATTGTAAAGAGATAAAACTAATATTTTTTAAATATATGTAGGAGATTCCACATGTTCCAGTGTATCTAATTTGAAGGTATCTTTACTTGACAGAGCCCTTGAAAGGGCTGTACTTGCTGTATTAGGCTTTTTGCTCTTTTTAAATTTTTTTGTCTCATATTTATTTAACTTTGTATTATGGTTTGGGTGAAAATTGACCCTCAGAGCAGATTGGTTTTCAGTATTGGGCTTTTCATAGCAGAATGGAAGAGATGGCTGTGGGTCTGGTTTGACGGAATTAGGATTCTTTAAGGTCAGACCAGCAGGGGCACTGGTAGCCAGGGTTATGGTCTGGCTGCTTCTCCTGTCACCAGGAGCAGACCTCAGTCTTTTTGACTACCTCTGAGCTTCCAGGGACCAGCTTCCTTTGGGTTCATGTCTACATAACTTCCCTCTCTATCTGAGATAGTCTCCTTCATGTCCAGGCCAGGTGCTGTCCTGGGAGCAGCTATGTCTAGAAGTTGTTTTCATTTATAATGTGCTACAAAACCTGTATGTACAGGGGAAAGCTGTCTGTTTTTGCTAAAACAAAAATAAAAACAAAACTCTTCCCCAGTAATCTATTATAGAGTATCAGACTACCCTGAAATAAAGCAATACTTGCGGTCAGTCAGCTAGGGTGTCTCGAAGGCTGGGGAGTTAACTTATGGTTTGTTTATTCTCAATGTCTGATGGTTAGCCCTGGTTACTGTGGGTTGGGACCTCAGCAGAGCATTAGTCAGAATCAATCTCTCTCTCTCTCTCTCTCTTTCTCTCTCTGTCTATCTATCTATCTAGATGTATCTATATACCAATTGACATATAAGTTGTGCCAGGAAATCTGGAGGACAACCACCTGGCCAATTAACTGGAAGAGATCGATATTTGTTCACATTCCAAAGAAAGGTGACCCAACAGAGTCAGGAAATTATCAAACAATATCATTAATAGCATATACAAGCAAGATTCTGCTGAAAATTATCAAAAAATGACTGGAGTGTACATCGACAGAGAACTTCCAGATGTGCAGGCTGGGTTTAGAAGAGGCTGTGGGATTAGGTATATTATAGCTAATGTTAGATGGATCTTGTTTGAAAGCAGAGAGTACCAGAGGAATGTCTGTGTTTCATTGACTGTGTGGATCACAACAAACTGTGGCTGACTCTGAGGAGAATGGGAATCCCGGAACATTTGATTGTGCTTATACGAAACCTGTATTTAACCAGGAGGCAGTTGTCAGAAGAGAGCAAGGAAACACTGCATAGTTCAAAATTGGAAAAGATGTATACCAGGTATGTATTGTCTCCATACCTTTTCAATCTATATGCAGAACAGATAATCTGAGAGGCTGTATGAGGAGGAATGTGGCATCAGGATTGAGGGAAGATTCATTAACATCCTGTGTTATGCAGATAACACCACCCTGTTTGCTGAAACTGAGGAGAACCTGAAGCACTTGCTGCAGAAGGTCAAGGACTGCAGCCTTCAATATGGATTGAAGTTCAGCATCAAGAAAACAAAGATTCTCACCACTGGGCCGATTGGCAGCAGTATTATAATAGATGGGGAAGAGATTAAGATTGTTAACAGCCTTAGTTTGCTTGGGTCCATAATCTACACCCAGCCAGGAAATCAAGAGATGAATTTCTTTGGGAAAGTCATCAGTCTGGAGACTAAAATGCACCTGATCCAGGCCATAGTCTTTGTGGTTGCTTGCTATGTCAGAGAGCTGGACAATGACTAGGGATGATAGAAAGAAAATTGATGCCTTTGAGCTGTGGTGCTGTAGAAGAGTGTTGAAGATATATGATAGACTGCTGTGAGAACAAACAGGTTGTCTTAGAGAGGGTGAAACCAGGCTGCTCTTTGGAGGCAAGGATTCTGAGGCTTCGTCTGACATAGTTTGGACATGTTACAAGGAGGGACCAGTCTTTGGAGAGGGACATCATGCTTGGAAGGATGGAAAGAGAGAAAGAGAGGGAGACCATTGATGAGATGGATAGATATAGTGACTGGGTAATGAGGGTCAGAGGCAGTAAAGTTGGCACAGGATAGAGCAGGTTTCACAGTTGTTGTACATAGGGTCACTATAAGTTGCAAGCGACTCTATGGCACATAACAACAACACAACATATCTATATATAT